AACCCCGAAACCCCTAAACCCCGAAACCCCTAAACCCTAAACCCCTGAAGCGGGGAGGCGTTGACGGGAAACCGTCTCTTCTTTGTTGGGTGGGACCTGACCGGCTACCCTACGATGAGACTGAGGTGTGAGCTTGAAGGTGTCTCAATGGTGTTATTGTTATCATTCTATTGGGGGTTATATAGGGCTTGTATTGGTTTAGGGTTTAGGGTTTAGGGATATTGGGGGTTATATAGGGGTTGTATTGGTTTAGGGTTTAGGGTTTAGGGGAGATACTGGGGTTATATGAGGGTTATATTGGGGTAATACTGGGGTTATATTAGGGGTATATTATTGTTATCATTCTTGTTATTCTTATCATTATGATGATTAATATTATTGTTACTCCTGTCATTATTCTGAGTTCTGGAGGGCTTTGAGGCAGCTGGGGCAGATACGGTGGAATACCTTGGGAATTACAGGTCTTGGAGCAGAGTAGCATCCAAAGTTCCACTAATGTTTGAGACATCGCCATGTCAAAATCTATTATCTCTTTGTTTCACGGGCAGGTTTTGGACGCGGGGTGAAGTGGCAAGTATTGACCCTAACCTTACATTCAAAACCCGCGTGCGGACCACCTGTAGTGTTTTCAATCTTTTTGACAATATAACCCCTATATAACCCTAATATAACCCTATATAACCCCTATAATATAGTAGTTTCCATTTTCTTTTCCATTATCCCAATATAACCCCTATAAAAGTATTCCAGTCTCAAGCACCTGCGAGCAGCAACACCATCTCGTGGAGATGGGATCGGTTCACTTTCGCCCTGAACTCTTCTGCGGCGGTTTCGTGCAGTTGAAAAATGCGCTTCAATGGCAATGGTAGTCAGACAGGATCTTGGGATCGGATAGCCCCTGCCGAGACCCCCTTTAGGGGGTCTGGGTTGTTCTGTGGGTGGAGAGACTCATGTGGGACAGTCCGACACTTGTGGGAGGGTTGGCCATACTTCAGGATCAAGAGCGCTCATAGCGGGCACCGGCGAACCGGGTCCAGGGTAGATAGTAGTAGATGCCAGAAGATGTTATTTGCCGCTGAAGGCGGTGTTCTTTATTTCTTTATTTTGCAAGCTGCTGCAAGCAGCCATGCAGCAGCTTGCAATTATCCATCCACCCCTAAACCCTACTATAATAATTTAGTTTCCATTTTCTTTTCC